AGAATACTTCATATGAAAACTCAATAACTTAAGTACCAGTTGTACTTTGCATTCTAGTAACACCACTTAGAAAATGTTGGTGGTTTTATATAAAACCATCAATGTTTTTAATGAGTTTTCGTTGAATATTATTCTCAAACAAAAACAACAGAAACTTCCGACTTCTCTCAACTTGGTTTACTAAAGTATTTCATGACTTTAATTTACAAAATATTATTGCCCTCAGTTTAAAAAGTACAATAAAATATCTGCGGCCATGAATTTTATTCTGATTTTATTTCTTTGCAAATATACAAGATGATGAGTGCAAATAAACGAAATACCCCTGCTTTTAAATATCAATTATAAGAAATTGCATAATTAATCACAATTTGAAAAAATATATATGTCATCCTATTTGAATTAAATAAATAAATCCTGTTAATGAAAATAAATAGCACGGTTTGTAGTTTAATTCTCTGTGATATATAGTGAATATAACATGAAACAGGCGACGTTCTCGTTGCTCTTTGGGATTCAAACCGACGACCTTCAGGGAGAAGGCATGCTGCGAGGAATAATCCGCTTCTTTATGGATTTATGGGAGATTTATTGTTTTACACTGATGAGTATTTAGTTTAGTTTGCTGCAGTAAAAATCACATAAAAGCCACAATAATTCTCCTCACACGAGTTTTGTGTTTTCAGGGTTTGATTGAAGATGAATCGGAGCCGAGCGGCTTCTGGTTCAACAGCTTTAAACAAACTACAGTGTACGTTCAGAATTTAATCGATATTTCCATTTCATCCCTGTTTCTGAAAATAAAATGACATTTATTGACCACAACTATGAGATGAAAATAAAGATATTTGTCCTTAATAAAATAGATTGAATGAATTTAAAGTTAAAGGTTGTCTTTTAAGTCTGGAAATTTGATTGTTACATTTTATAAAATGAATAATCCTGATACAAATGAAGGAAACAATAACTATTATGAATTCAGAAAAATCAAGTTGTTTTTATTCGGCCAACAATTAACTATTTAATTCTCAAAAAAAACATTAAACATCGTTAAAATAAAAAAAACATTCAATCAGTCCATGATCAAAAGTTAATGTAAAAGATTTGGTAATATAAATTATGATGTTTGACTTTCAGCAGAAACCTTAGTAGTTTAAATGTTAGTTTATGCTACGTTATTATTTAATTTGTTATTATTTACAACTTGCAGTCAGGAAACATTTATTACCAAAATATGTCAGACATACAGGGAATTTTACTTCGACAAGGCAGATAACACGACATCGTCCAAGAGGAATGAAATAAAATATAATGCCATGGGTTAGTATATTAGTTTAAAAATAAAGGAATAAAGTTTTAAATTTTTTTAAAAAATGTTTAAAAAATCATTAAAACATCAAAACAACAAGACTGGTGGTTCAACATTTTTTGTTTTACATTCAATTTGATTTGAAACGTTCATAAAGTACCAATATATAATTATTATTATATCATAAATAATAATTATCATCATAATAAATCCAACAGAGACAAGTATTTTAGAGTACCATTTAAATTAACTAAAGCTTTTAATGTATATAACATTTATTTTTTATTGTAATACAAGTTATATTCTTCCGATTACTGTCAGGCAAAGTAATTAGTTTGCATTTTAAAGCAAACTGACGTAACTAAAATCCTCACAAACAGCATCTTTGAGACGAGTGAATCCTTAAAACAGGTCTGACTGATGTACCTGAATATTAAAACATATGTTTATATCATGATGTGATAAATATACATTTTTAAAGGATACAAAAAAAGAATAAAGTAAAAATGCATTCGATATATATATAAATATAAATGTATAATCTCAAATGTGTTTGTATTAAAACCTACAATATTTAAATGAAATGAATGATGCCGGCGTTCTGCTCTTTTCCAGTTACTTATAGCGACATTAGTAGGAATTGGACAAAGAAAAAGAAGAAGAAGGAAACAGAACATGAGAAACAAACCGGCAGTGTGTGTCTCTGTGTGTGTCTCTGTGTGTGTCTCTGTGTGTGTGTCTCTGTGTGTGTCTCTGTGTGTGTCTCTGTGTGTGTGTCTCTGTGTGTGTCTCTGTGTGTGTCTCTGTGTGTGTCTCTGTGTGTGTGTGTGTCTCTGTGTGTGTGTGTGTGTGTGTGTGTGAATCGCGTGTCCATCTTGTTTCTCTTCCCCCTTGTCACCTGTCTTCAGGTGAACCATTAACCAGCTACGACTATAAAACTTCACTTTATGGAAAGTTTGATGCCGGCGGCTCTGAGTTCTCTGCTGGTTTCTGTTCTCCGTCACACAAACTTTAAAATGTATGAAACACAAAAGCTGCTGATCGGCCCCAAACAGGGGCCCTGAACCCAAACGCCAAGTCCTGACCCGCAATGCAGAGTCCTGAACCCGGATACTTTTCACCAAGATCAGAGGTTCAACCACATGAGAAGGTTAAACAGTGACTGACTTTATGCTCTGATTCTGAAAAGGACTTTATTCCCAATAAGCCGTTTACGAGCAAATACTAAAATCTTAGGACTCTATTCAAACAGGATGAAATTAAACATTTGTATTTTGGGAATTTACTTGTTTCTCACAATTTAAAAAATAATACTTGTTTTTTTTAATGAATGTTTAGTTTTTAATTTCTTTAAAAATTGACAATCCCCATAATAATGATTCACATCCAAAGTCCCTCTGCTCAGCGAATGATCTCCTCAGAACTCTGCTGCCATCTGCTGTTACATTACATTATATTACATTATATTACATTACAATAGTGTTCAACAATATACCAATAATGTCAAAACACATATGAACATAAACCGAATACCAATAACTAACTTTTTTTTAATACTGTTTTGTTTTAGTGGGACTCAAGAACTATAAAGTTTGTTTTATTGAATTCTTAAATGAAAATGTCTGTATTACAGGCACAAGTGTGGGACATATCCCCAAAGTGACGGCTATTCTGCTGATGACATCACTGTTATCATTAAAAAACAGCTGGAAATAGGCGCTAAATTGAATCCCCATAAAACCGAAGGCGTTTGGATCAGGAATGCTTATGACAAAGGGAATATTGGCATTACAATCAAATATCGGCTCAACTTTCTGTAGCAGACAAAGGAGTGAAATAAACCACAAAGGTAATTGCTTGAAATTAAGAAGCAGCAACGTGGCCAGAACCACGCAGACCGCCCGGAAGTCCACCGGAGGAAAAGCGCCCAGGAAGCAGCGACCAAGGCCGCCCGCAAGAGCGCCGCGGCCACCGGCGGCGTGAAGAGGCCGCGCCGCTACCGGCCCGGCACCGGGGCCACGACCCATTGCGTTAGCATTTCACTTCACCTTATTTTATCAGGAGCTCAACGAGCTGCTGGGCGGAGTGACCATCGCTCAGGGCGGCGTGCTGCCCAAGAAGACCGAGAAGCCCGCCAAGAAGAACGAGAAGCCCGCCAAGAAGTAACGTCAACAACAACAACAACAACGGCTCTTATAAGAGGCACACAATTCATCCCTGAGAGCAGCGACTTCCTAATCTCTGGAATCTCTCCTAATGTACATAACAGGATCTAATTGAATTAGTCAAACTCATTTTGATCATACAATTTTATTTGATCGCTTGAATCACAGAAACACAATGACGGGATAAATGTGTCCGTGATGAAAAGCAGCAGTGGCGATGAAGCAATAAAGTTAGATATAAAGCTAGATATAAAGCTAGATATAAAGTTAGATATAAAGCTAGATATATAGTTAGATATAAAGCTAGATATAAAGCTAGATATAAAGCTAGATATAAAGCTAGATATAAAGTTAGATATAAAGTTAGATATAAAGCTAGATATAAAGCTAGATATAAAGCTAGATATAAAGCTAGATATATAGTTGGATATAAAGCTAGATATAAAGCTAGATATAAAGCTAGATATATAGTTAGATATAAAGCTAGATATAAAGTTAGATATAAAGTTAGATATAAAGCTAGATATAAAGCTAGATATATAGTTGGATATAAAGCTAGATATAAAGCTAGATATAAAGCTAGATATATAGTTAGATATAAAGCTAGATATAAAGTTAGATATAAAGTTAGATATAAAGCTAGATATAAAGCTAGATATAAAGCTAGATATATAGTTAGATATAAAGCTAGATATAAAGCTAGATATAAAGCTAGATATATAGTTAGATATATAGTTAACCTTTACTAACGCTGCACACATTGTCCTGGCTCCGAATCCGTTGGCAGCGATTGACCCCCTGTGGCTTTGAAGATGACCGACTTTCTGACCTCTGGTCATGATGCTGAACAGCTCGGCTAACTAACGGTATCTTGAATGCTGCCAAATCGGACTTCAATAAAATGGAGCAGAATTTCCCTGGTTTAACTTATTAGTTAACTGTCTATTAGTCTATTAGTTATTATTAACTTAGTCCCGGCTGCCCCATGTCTCCAGTCGAAGTGTCCCTGAGCAAGACACCCGACCCCTAATTGCTCCCTGGGCAAAATGTGAAAAGGCCACGGGTTTAGAGTGTAATGTAAGCCGCTTTGGATAAAAGCGTCTGCTAAAGGACCTGTGATGTAAAGAACGTTTCACAACTTGTGTGCAAGCGTTATTCAACAGAGTTACATTTTACACAACAACAAAAAACACTTACTTACCAAATAACGGATTTTCACCCGAGCCAGAAAAAATGATGTTGCAGTCAATTTCAGTCAGCAAAAAAGGCAGAACAGCGGCTAAAAGCGCAAAATGTGGCACATGCGCAAAGGGTAGTCCTCAATGAATGAATGAGTTGAAACATACACGTTTTAAACTAAATGAATCTCATAAGTGAAACTATTAAACCATATTATGTTGCTGCTATTGATTAAATATGTTCGTCCTTTAAAACATCATTTCAAATAAAGAAAACACCATTTAAACTTCTAAGTTGTAAGAGGGGCTTGAATCATTTTTGTGTACCAACACAATGTTTTGGGTGAGCGAACTTCCTGTACCAAGATGGCCGCCGTGAGAGACGTTCGACTCGTTGACCAGCGACGCAGAGAAACATCTAGCCTTTATATACATATCTATGCTCCGCCCTTTGACAGGAGCCCAGCCAATGACAGAGCGTGCTTTCATTTCCTCGTTCATTCTATGACTCTCAGGTGTATCAGGTGTATTTCAGCAGTTTCCACATGTGGACAAAATGAGTGTTTTCTCGACCATGACACGTCCCTGTTGACGAAGAAGCGCTTTTACATCGCAGGCTGTTAAACACGTCGGGAGAGAATATTAGACATATTGTCATTTACAGATCTCTTTACTCTAGGAAATGATTTTTATTGGTTTGTTACTATGTGTTATTCAGGAGGCATGTTTTTTTCATGTTGAGGGTAATTACATGTTTTTTTTCTTATAGTATCTGGATGATCTGCATAGTGGAAAAATGTCATGGTTAGAATAATAAATGAGTGTTGAAAAGAAGGATATAGCACAACGGTTGATTTATGAGATATATGCATAATAATAATATTGTTAGGATAGAGATTAGGACGTCACTGCTCTCAATCCGGTTATTAGAACGCGAGTCCTCCCTGATTGGTCAAAGTGAGCGTAGCTCTGACCGTCCAATCAGAGACGAGCCCGTTTTTATGAGTCTCCTTCAACGTAAAACGGTCGAACAAACATGCTGGTTGGCCAGTTTTACCTCTCTGGTCTCTAACGTTGGCTAATGCCAATGACACCGTCATTGCGGTACATTGTGTGAATTACTGTGAACATTCGTTCCGCTTCATTAATCGTCCGAGAGCAGCTGATCATATATTGTGTTTGTGTGGTTGTGTTCGTATGAGCAACGAGCGGGTCTGGGCTCTCAGAGGGTCTGCGTGGCTCTTAAAAGAGCCGTTGGTCTGCGTGGCGGTCGGCTGGTCTCGGGTCAGTCTAGGCTCGCTCCCCGCGGATGCGGCGGGCCAGCTGGATGTCTTTGGGCATGATGGTGACCCGCTTGGCGTGGATGGCGCACAGGTTGGTGTCCTCGAACAGGCCCACCAGGTAAGCCTCGCTGGACTCCTGCAGGGCCATGACGGCGGAGCTCTGGAAGCGCAGGTCGGTCTTGAAGTCCTGCGCGATCTCCCGCACGAGGCGCTGGAAGGGCAGCTTGCGGATCAGCAGCTCGGTGGACTTCTGGTAGCGGCGGATCTCCCTCAGGGCCACGGTGCCGGGCCGGTAGCGGTGCGGCTTCTTCACGCCGCCGGTGGCCGGGGCGCTCTTGCGGGCGGCCTTGGTGGCGAGCTGCTTCCGGGGCGCTTTGCCTCCGGTGGACTTCCGGGCGGTCTGCTTGGTTCTGGCCATGTTGCTGCTTCGGTCCGGTCCGCTCCGAGGTCTCAGATCGGGAAGGAATGCTGCGTGAGCGGGAACAGCGGCCTTATGAAGGACCGGCCGGAGTCCGGGCGGCGCTGATTGGTCCATCCGGGGACCGCGCGCTCTGTAACTCAGCTGCTATTGGACAACAGCAATTCAAAGCGAGACACGCCCACAACGGTGGGAAACGTCCCACAATGAATGAAATACGAAATAAAGAAATCTTAAGACTTTCAAATATTTACTTTCAAATATTTATTTTCAAATACTCCTTTGAATTAACTGTTATTCTGAGCACTGTTTTAAACGCCTCCTACTACCACATGTATATTCATCATTATAAAATAATATATGTAATAAATATTGGTAATAGTTAATGATTGGGTGAGAATAAATGTCTGTTTCAAACCACAAGGCGACTTTGTTGTTGTTTCTGTTTGTTGTTTAAAACGTGATGCTAATTTCCTCCGAATCAGCTGTAACGTTAAATTACCACCAGAGTTCAGTCTAGAGTCAAAGAACAACGACTCCATCTCTCACCATATTCCTTACTTTCTTTTATTACAACTTTTAATCTTTTTCTCTCTCTTTGGGTTTAACTGTTTACTCCGGCCGCTGATTTTTTATTTTAGTGGTTTTATAAATAATATTAGAAAAGGTCAATAACAATGGAAAATACAATCATCGTCTGTTAAAAGAGCATACATATTTTGATTTGTAAAGTTCTTGATTATTTCTGAGGATTTTAGTTTGTTTGACAAACAATGCATTAATAAAATAGCATGTTTGTTTTTTATATGGTTATTAGTTATAGACTACATATCTGCTCTGGATGTTTTGCTCCTCTGGAAAGAAGAATAGCAACAAGAAGGAAGCAAACTGTGAGGAAACCTGAACGATGGCGTTCCACCAAATCAGAAGGATCTAGTTTGGCAAGACAGACTTAAAACGTACAAGAACGCAGGAGCATCTTATTACTCATCATTAATAGAGACAAATAAAAACAACTCCAGGTTTCCCTTCAGCACTGAAGCCAGACTGAGTCCTTTGGACCTCAGTTCACTTCATGAACCTCTTCAATGATACGATTCTCCAGTTGATTCAGAATGCTGCAGCACATATAGTCTTCATTTTGTTCCTCTTAAATCAAGAATAGAAGTTAAGGTACTTCTCACCTACAGGGCTGATGAGGCACCGTCTTAAATAAATAGTATAAATATTCAAATCTCGCTAAAGCATCACTATTATTTTGACAGATAATTTAACTTTATTAGATATCCCGATGTATTTTATTATCATTCAGAAAAATATCCAACCAACATCACTCAATAGATTTATCAGTTATCAAACATTTATAAAGAAAATATCAATAAATGAAATACAATGAATCATTTAAAGGGATCAAATAATAACAAGAATAATTTAATTGTAATCAACAGTTAGATATTCAACACTAATAATTAATAATAAATATCACAGGGGCAGGAAAGTGAGAGAGAACCGGTCGGTTAATAAGTGAGAGGAACAGCTTTGGTTTCTGGGAAATCTTAGATGAGACGAGTGAAGTTCCAAAAGCACTTTTTATTCTCGCCATGGCGACGCTCGCCACGGCTCGTTATGCTTCTCCCGAGGCGGCAAACAACAACGTCAGCGAGCGTGCGACTTCCATCAAACGCTGGTGGTTATTTTTCCACTGAGTGCTGCTGCTTAAATCTCACTAAAAGCATCAGCAGCAAAATATAGCTAATGTACCAAAAGTATGATAAGAGTATTATTACTCTAATACATCACATGTGATATGTCGTGGATTGTAGTCATTAGTTTTTTAAGGTGTTCATTGATTTAAACGTGGACCTTATTTTAATGAACGTTTATATGTAACAATAAAAAATGTATTATTAAATTATTTTATCTTAGAAAATTTACATCTAAGTAACTAAATCTGTCAAGTAAAGTATATGCTCATCTTCTGAGTAGCAGCTGAGGAGTACAACAAATACTACATACAAAACTGTGATTGAGTAAAGCTACAACGACAAACTTCATCTTGTAAGTTCTGCTGCAGATGTTAGAAGATCCCACTGCAGACTAAACATCCAGATGTTCTCTGTTCATGTCGAGGTGAAGACGGTTAATAAGAAAGGAGACTTCTTCTTCTTCTTTTAATAAAGTCTGAGTGAGAGAATCGCCTGTTAAACATCACAAATCAGGTCTAAAGATTTGATTGACAGGTGGTTCTTCCAATCACTTTCTATCTGTTTCTACTGACGACTTCTCACATGCTTCTGTGTCACAAACAATGTGCAGCTCAGGTTTGAGTTTCATTAGAAAAAACTAAAGAAGTAATAACAGTTAGAATAAGCTTTATTTATTAACCACCTTTCTTAAGATTAAATGAATCAATAATCAATAAAACACAGGTAAAGAACGGGACGCAAGAAGCAAAAACAATTATATCATTAAAAATAAAACGACGATAATGTCAAACAATAAAAGCTGTTGTATATAATATTCAAGATGTAAAAACTAGTACTAGAAAAAGAAAAGTAAAATTGAAAAGCGGAATTTATTTGAATCAAGATTGTTAAAATAAGCTTCTTTCCTTTAAACAGAAGTTGCTTATATTAGAAAGCTTGTAAATAAAGAATATTAAATATCGAGTTTCCAGCCTAAAGTGCATGAAGCTGAGCAGAAAGGGGGATCACAGGAGTGTCAGCGGGAGGAAGGTTGAAGTCCTCAAAGCGCCCTGAAGGGATCCGCTGTGATGCTGAGCTCAGCGGCAATAAGAAGTGATCAGATCACGCCGGCTCATTAGATCTGTTTGTTCTACTGAGTGCGAGAAGCAGCCAATCGTGAGCCGCCAGGCGTGAACACACACACGCACACGCCACAGGGTCGTGATTGATGCTGCGCGGTTGCAGGTATTGTCCCCGTCAGGGGGGCGAGTCAACAGGACCAGGGGGGTGTCCAGGTGGAGTTGAGGAGTATAAGTGAGGAGGACGCCTCCTGTTCATCCTCACACCAACCAGCTCCCAGCTGACCTTCTTCTGCTGCTCCGTGGCCTCCTCTTCCTCTACAGGTGAGATGCTCCTCCACCATCTACTCCTCCATCTCCTCTATCTGATTTTCTTTGTAGTCCTCCATCTCTTCCACCATCTACTCCTCCGTGTGCTCCTCCATCTCCTCCATCTACCACTATCTACTCTTCCATTTCTTCTGTGTCAACCTCCATCTCCTCCATCTCCATGTACGCATTTTTCTCCTCCTCCTGATACTCATTTATCGACTCCTCCATCTCCTCTTTCATCTACTCCTCCTTCCTGTTCCTCCCCATCTTTGTCGTCAATCACCTCCTCTTCTCTTCTCCTCGTCTTTGTCTTCATGAACACATTTCTTTGCATCTTTGCATGTTGCTCACGTGTTTCTTCACGGTTCCTGTGCAGCTGAGTAACAGCACACTCTGTGTATTTGTATTTAGTTCTCCACCATCATGGCGTCTCTGTGGCTCCAGTCCGTGTCTCTACTGGTCTTACTGGTCTGGTCGTGTCCCGGCTCTCAGGCGGCCGCCGGCCCTCAACACCTGTGTGGGTCTCACCTGGTGGACGCCCTGTACCTGGTCTGTGGGGAGAGGGGCTTCTTCTACAACCCCAAGAGAGACGTGGACCCTCTGATGGGTGAGATGCTCTGGAGTACTTCATTTAGTACTGTGGTACTTCTACTGTGCTAGTGATAAAGCATCGGGGAAACATAAGGAAGAACTGTTTTTTATATCACAGATGTGATAATACTGTGTTAAAGTAGAAGTACTAATACTACACTGTGATACCATGATACTGTAAAAGTATACAAATACCACACTGTGATACTTCTCTGATGCAGTATTAGTACTAAGCCACTACCCAATAGTAAAGACACTTTTAAAGTAAAAAGTAAATGTGTTAATACGACAGAAATAAAAACAAAACACTGTTACAGTAGGAGTACTAATACCACACAATACAAATACTCTGCTAAAGTAAAAGTACTAGTACCAAAATAGTAAAAACACCTGTTGCTGTTTAAGAGGATAATTAACTGAATCAGAACTTCTTATCGTAGTTAATAAAATGAATGAATAAACATGGTTTTCCGTCACCTGCTGATACCGGAACACCTGAACACCGTTTTGTCCCCAAAAGGTTTCCTGCCTCCGAAAGTGGGCGGAGCCTCTGCAGCGGCTGGCGGAGAGAACGAGGTGGCGGAGTTTGCCTTCAAGGACCAGATGGAGATGATGGTGAAGCGAGGCATCGTGGAGCAGTGCTGCCACCGGCCGTGCAACATCTTCGACCTGCAGAACTACTGCAACTGAGCAGCCTAGCTTAGCCTAGCTTAGCTTCCTGGCTAACTTCGGAGGAGCGTTTTCTGCAGAAAATTAAGAAGTGGATGAAATTATTTTTCCTACAAAATAAAGTTTTGTGAATTAAGATTATACGATTTGTGTGTTGGTGTTTTTTGAATTCTTTACTTCTCTCTTTGTTGTAATGAAAAACTAAACCCAAAATAAACCAAGAGGTTTAAAGTAGTAAATAGTGAGCCATTCATGATTAATAATATAAAAAAGCAGGCACTGATGGTGTTTTGTACACATCTTATAATATAAAATATATGTCCTCATTGATGCAAAAATAGTCAGAAGAAAGGAGCGAAACGGAAAAGGTACTTGATCTGAAAGTGGTATTTTCTTTTTCTTTTATAAAATGTTGTCAAACATGAAGCACGTTTGGATATTTACTTACTTCCTAATTCATTTAAACTTTACTTAATTTACTCCCACACAATTTCACTAAATAATTATTAAAAATGGTGCGTCGTTTTCCCAACATCTGCTGCACCACAAAGTACACACTACTACTGTACTACATGTACAAATAACACGCTTTCAATTTAGTTTTATTTAAAAAAACAATACTTGAATACCACACAGAAAAAAAACAGTAAAAGTCACACAATACAAATATATCTTTTGCAGTTAAGTCTCGTTTAAAGGTTCGTAAAAAGTAGAATCATTAAAGCCGTTGTAGTCTTTTAAACCTTTATAATCGTGTGCCTAATTATTCATTTTTTCCTGCCTATACTTTCGGCGTTTGGCCGCCGTATCAGTTGCTGCTCCTCACCTGCTCCGCCCGGCGGGGCGGGGCGGGATCAGGTGTCGCTTTGTTTACGGCCAACAGTCCCCCGGTCACACCGAGAGCCTCGCGCCTCGTTCCCGCAGTTTGGTGTCTGTCCAGCCGGATGTACCGGAGCGTTTTGCCTCCCGGTCGGTCCCCGGTCCGCGTTTCTTCCGGTTTGTTTCCCCGACGAACACTAACACGATGCGAGATGTTCACCTGAACAACGAGACCTGCGGTAACGGTAAGGCACGAGACACGCCGGTAACCCACCGGGATCGGTCGCTCTCCGCCTCGCCTTTCTCCTGAAGGAAGCTGTGTGTTACGATGTTTACGTGAACGCGTCATATTTAACGTGTTTACACTGAAAACACGCGAAGAGCCGGTCGCTTATTAGGAACAAACCTTTTGTTAATCTGATGAATTATTTATATTCTAGTTTGTCTCTGTGTGTCTTTCAGTATCGGCTGATGTGGTGATTTATTAGGTGATAAATCGATAAAATACATTTAGTTTTCTCCAGCAGAAATGCAAACTACAATACATGTTTCATAGAAAATCTGAAAATATTCATATTTCAGAAATTTCTCTCCTTGTTTTTGATTCATTCAATTAATTTATTATTGAATAGATATGTCCCGATTGAATTATTATCCTCCTTTATTTTTACTTAATTAAAGTAATTGTAATTAAACTTTAACACAACTGGATTACGGTTTTATTTTTACAGAATTATTTGCAGATCGACAAATGATCACTAATACATCCAAACTTTTTACCTCCTCGTGAGAAGTTTAGAACGAATAAATCTGAGAATCTGTTTTGTATGCAAAGGCTGTTTGTTGATTTAATTGAGTATATTTATTGATTGCGTGTCTTTGAAAGTAAATGCAACAGTTGTTTGGTTTGATTTAGTTACTTTTCTTTCTCTCTTTTTCGGTTGCTACGAAACTTCATTAAATTGGTAAATAAAGATCGCCATGGTGGTTACCATTAACCTGACCCCGTAACAATGCGGCTCCTCGTGTTCTTCACCGCGTGGTCAGACCTGTCCGACCACTTTACCCTCAGACCTGCAGCCGGTTAACCAATAGGTGTGTTTGTCACGGGATCCCATCTGACCTCCGCTTGAGCGTCTTTCCTGCAGTAACCTGTCGGCTATTAAAGCTCCAGATGAGTTAAATCGTGCTAATGGTTAGCGTGTTAGCATGGTGTTGTGAGATGTTTAAGGAATGCAACGTCTCTGCAGGTTCTCAGCTCAGGTTGTGGTGCGGCTCACAGTCGGCTGTCTGTTCAGTCTCTGGAGGCCAGACGCACCTGGACAGCAACAGCACAGGTAACACACACACACACACACACCTGGACAGCAACAGCACAGGTAACACACACGCAGGTTTAACTCTGAGTTTCTGTGTAAACATTATTGTTTTTCCAGGATGTAGTTTCATTGTGTTTGTAAAGGAGGTGGAGTATTTAAACAGTGAAGAAGTTAAACTGGTCTCAGTCTAACTTCAGTCCTGATCCTATATATGTTCTTGATTGGTGTCCTTATTGGTTGTTCTAGTCGTCTGTAGCCTTTAGTCTTGAACCCTTAGAGTTAATGTAACCAGGGTGACATTTTAACCCGATTGATGGACCTCTTGCGATCACAGACTAATCGCTCAGTAGATCCCTCGTTCTTTTTCTCGGGCGTGATGAATTTACTAAACAAACAGACTCCAGGTTCACACCCCCAGAAACAAACACACTCTTTTGTCCCCAGGGGTCCGTTTCAAGTAGGAGGTTTAACAATAAATTCACCCCTATTGAGCTGGAAATATTAATGCAAGCGTACGGCGAGGATGAATCCGTAATTAGACAGAAAAGCAACACAGCGACTGCAGCAAAAGACGGAGAAACAGCACGTGAGAAAATTGCTGTAAGTTTTAATATATTGTTGTTAGTTAATATTTAATGTACACAATAATCAGAATCCATACGTTTGACTAGTTCCAGTGGGGAAATAACATTTTTACAGAATGCACTACACACAGGCTGGAAATACACACACATGCTCATATTTAATCACTGGTATAAGCTGTACGATGGTGTTGGACCTGTGATGTGTTTCCTTCAGGTGCATCCTGTGGGACTCCTCCTTAACGTCTCACTGGTTTGTGTCCAACAAAAAGGTCTAAAAGACGTTTCTCACGGCTCTGCATGCAGCAGCTTTACTGATATTCTAATGTTGTAAAGGGAAACACGTGATACTACACAAAGAATGTGCTCGTATGTCAGAGCACGTCCACCATGGGGACGTTACTTCTATGAGGACGGCTGAGGTCATGTAAGGTACATGACCTCACCCGTCCTCAAAGAACTAATAGTCTCCATTGATTGTGCTCCTGGTTGGTAGTGGTCTCCATTGACTGTGGCCCTGGTTGGTAGTGGTCTTCATTGACTGTGGCCCTGGTTGGTAGTGGTCTTCATTGACTGTAGTCCTGGTTGGAAGTGGTCTCCATTGACTGTAGTCCTGGTTGGAAGTGGTCTCCATTGACTGTAGTCCTGGTTGGTAGTGGTCTCCATTGACTGTAGTCCTGGTTGGAAGTGGTCTCCATTGACTGTAGTCCTGGTTGGAAGTGGTCTCCATTGACTGTAGTCCTGGTTGGTAGTGGTCTCCATTGATTGTGGCCCTGGTTGGTAGTGGTCTTCGTTGACTGGAGTCCTGGTTGGTAGTGGTCTCCGTTGACTGTAGTCCTGGTTGGTAGTGGTCTCTATTGATTGTAGTCCTGGTTGGTAATCGTCTTAAAATTAGATGATGAACAATCACTCTACTTGTTTACTTCAGATTTTGTTTTTAGCAGCAGTCCAAAGAGAAATAACATAATGAACCCGCCTTAACGTGTACATTAATTCCCAGTCCGGTAGTGTCTGGTGCTCACTGGGTGACTATTTAACACCATGTGATCGGCCGGCGTCTCGTTCTCACTGACAGCTCTCTGGGTAACATGAACCCATTAAACAAACAGACTTCAGGTTCACAACCTCCGAAACAAACACACTCCTTCTGCCCAGATGTGCAGACAGATGTGGCCTACAACCCCTGGCTGGGTCTGACCCTGGCCCTGCTGTCAGCCTTCCTCATTGGCGGCAGCGTCATCCTCAAGAAGAAAGCTCTGCTGCGATTGGCCGTCCACGGACACACCAGAGCAGGTGGGCACACAGGAGGTCTCACTCCTCGCCAATTTTTACTGACATTTTTCTTTCGGCATGTTGAAAGAAATGTATAATTTGTTAATGATACAAAACACACAGACAAACAAATATTAAATGAACAGTATGACAGGATGATGTGCGTCTTAGTCATTTGTCCTCTGGTCTTTTTTGTTTTTGAATTATCGAAATGTGAACGCTTTTATCTACAGGAAGTTCAAATCCTCAGCATGTTGATTTACAGGGAAATCAATGTAATTTTTCAAATATAAAACTAAAATCAGGGAGGGGGATGCTCATATGATCAGCTGTTTGGTTCACATGGGAACGAGGTGTGAAAGATGAAAAGTGTCTCATTTCTGTCCACGAGACCAAACGTCACTCAGAGTTCAGCAAGAGACCAAAACGCAACATTTAAGTCACAGGAGCACATATTCATCAGGTTTACTGGGGATGTCTTTGTTTTTAAAGTGCATTATGGGTGATTTAACCACTGTGTGACTTGTGTCTCTGCGAGCAGGCGAGGGGGGTCACAGCTACCTGAAGGACTGGCTGTGGTGGGCCGGTCTGCTCACCAGTAAGAGCCCATTTACACAAACAGACTGGGATGAAATCACAGCACATTTCTGGTGGGATTCACACGGTGTCGCTTCATAAGACGCTTCCTGTCTGCAGTGGGAGCCGGAGAGGTCTGTAACTTCGCCGCCTACATGTTCGCCCCGGCCACGCTGGTGACACCGCTGGGCGCTCTGAGCGTCCTCATCAGGTAGGAGCTCAGGTCAAAGGTCACACCCAACATATTTAGCTTTTCGGAGTCAATCGGGAGACGTTTTTCTGTGCGCCTCAGTGCCGTTCTGTCCTCCTACCTGCTGGGGGAGGCGCTGAACGTGGTGGGGAAGCTCGGCTGTCTGCTGTGCATGCTGGGAAGCGTCCTGCTGGTCATCCACGCCCCGCAGGAACAGGAAGTGACATCACTAGAGGACATGACCAACAAGCTGCTGGAGCCCGGTGAGCCTCCGCTTTCATTCCTACGCATTGTCATGGCGTTAATCTCCTTTTGAGGTTGAGATGAACCCGAGGCTTTTAAAGAAGAAACAGGAAGGAACAGTTACTTCGTTTAACATCTTCCTGTTCATCTACTTGTAGGTCAGAAATGTGCATTGTTTTAATGTGTAACATGAATATGCGCCATTATTAATATCACCAGTTATACAGCATATGTTTTTAGAGTAAACATTGGCCAACAATTGAGCATTGATTCTTACAATTACACAAACATTTGTTTGATGACAAATGTAGCCGAACGGCTCTCTGATCTGGCAATAGCCGGGTGTTTCCCATCATGCAATGGGTCACAGTCTGCAGCTGCCTTTAGGCCGAGTTACACTAATATCTGCTACACACGTACAGACATGAGATTATCCCCCGAATCATGGGCAGAAAAGCCTTTAGTACAGATACTGTGATCAGCTGCACGGCGTTGAGGCGGCGTGCTGCTGTGACTTTCAGGCTTCCTGGTGTACGCGGCGGCCGTGCTGCTGCTGTGTTCCGCGCTCGTGTTCTACTTCTCTCCTCGGGTCGGACGCTCCAACATCTTCGTGTACGTCAGCATCTGCTCGCTGCTCGGGGCCTTCACCGTGTCCTCCGTGAAGGGCCTCGCCATCGCCATCAGCAGCGGTGAGAGGCCACTGTCTTGTAAACGCAATGATACACACACACACACACACACACACACACACACACTAGTTGAAAACAGAGGTAATAAAATTAATTGTGTCGTTTGACTTAATTTTCCATAAACCATCAAAACATCATAAGAACCTCTTGACCTCCCGTATTGTTCTGTGGTTTCAGTGTTTCGTGATCTTGCCGTGTTTACTAACCCTCTCACCTGGATTCTGCTGTTCACTCTCATCGTCTCCATAGTAACGCAGGTGAGTTCATTCCTTAATGGACCATCATTCACTAAATGAACATCATGTTGTGTTGAAGAAGACTTGAAACTAGAGACTGAGACATAAACTCGTTTACAATGTTTACTGAGGGAATAAATCAGGAGAGAAGTAGAGTCATTTCCTCATAGACGTCTATGGGAGCAGAGGAGTCGCCCCCTGCTGGTCACTACAGAGAAGTAGAGTCATTTCCTCATAGACGTCTATGGGAGCAGAGGAGTCGCCCCCTGCTGGTCACTACAGAGAAGTAGAGTCATTTCCTCATAGACGTCTATGGGAGCAGAGGAGTCGCCCCCTGCTGGTCACTACAGAGAAGTAGAGTCATTTCCTCATAGACGTCTATGGGAGCAGAGGAGTCGCCCCCTGCTGGTCACTACAGAGAAGTAGAGTCATTTCCTCATAGACGTCTATGGGAGCAGAGGAGTCGCCCCCTGCTGGTCACTACAGAGAAGTAGAGTCATTTCCTCATAGACGTCTATGGGAGCAGAGGAGTCGCCCCCTGCTGGTCACTACAGAGAAGTAGAGTCATTTCCTCATAGACGTCTATGGGAGCAGAGGAGTCGCCCCCTGCTGGTCACTACAGAGAAGTAGAGTCATTTCCTCATAGACGTCTATGGGAGCAGAGGAGTCGCCCCCTGCTGGTCACTACAGAGAAGTAGAGTCATTTCCTCATAGACGTCTATGGGAGCAGAGGAGTCGCCCCCTGCTGGTCACTGCAGAGAAGTAGAGTCATTTCCTCATAGACGTCTATGGGAGCAGGGGAGTCGCCCCCTGCTGGTCACTACACAGAATGCAGCTTTAATGCATGAAGCTCTGACTTTGATTTAAAGAACTTAATATTGTCTCCTGGTCTGAATTTGACCAGTTATGTAGAAGCTACAGAGACAGAAACACTAAATCTGTTCCACAAGAAGACCAGAGAGGACTTACCTGTCTCTCCTCCTGCAGGTGAACTACCTGAACAAGTCTCTGGACACCTTCAACACCCTGCTGGTGTACCCCATCTATTACGTCCTCTTCACCACCGTGGTTCTGTCCACCTCCATCATCCTCTTCCAGGAATGGAGGAGCATTGCGGCCGTGGACGTGGTCACAACGCTGGGGGCCTTCCTGGTCATTGTGGTGGGCGTGGCCATGCTCCACCTCTTCAGAGGGATGCAGGTTAGTGGCCCCTCCCCCCTCTCAACATGAATGTTTATTAACAAAAATTCCACTTCAGAATTCCACACCTTGCTGACTCTAGTGATCCACCTGTCGTGCAGCGAGAGTAAAGCGTCTCCGGTGTCTTTCAGCTGTCCATGAAGGAGCTGACCAATCAGCTTTCTCAGCCGGTGGAGAGGGCGGGGTTTCCAGTGGAGGGATCAGCCAATGGAGGAACAGGAGGAGGAAGAAGCAAGGGGGAAAAAGAGGATAAATATCAGCTGATGGACCACATGGTGATAGAGAGTCTTCCTCCGATGAGGGATGAAGGGCCGAGGGTCTTCATCATCAGCTGAAGAACAACGTGGGGGGGCGGAGTTTAGTTTCCTGTCTGGACTTGTGGTTCAGACCGTTCAGGCTTTTAGAGTCTTTAAAAAAAAAAAGCTTCAGTTTTTCATCGAGGTCCAAAAGCTTCCAACAGAACATCTACAAACAAACTACACACAAGGTCAAAGTACCCAAGAGGCGATTTAGTGTCTGGAGGTGTAAAACAGTACAACTGCACTGACGAAGTCCTAAACGAAGTCTAGTACTGGTTGCTAATTCGGTAGATGTGTTTAGACGTGCGCTCGTACTCAGTAAAACAGAGAGTTCTGTGATCGTTACAATTATCTTGCAAGTTTATTTTACATCCACATATCATACAGCGGCAAAACTTTAACTCATAATACGTGTACCCAAAATAACAAACCGCATTGCTCACCACAAAGGCACAAAGGCACAAAGGCACACACGAACACATGCACAGTGAAACCGTTTGCTTCCCAAAGGACCAACTCCTGTGTCTGACATTCCTGCAGGTTAAAGGGCTACCTGGGCTGATCCGAGGTCAGCGGAGCCACAAAGCACATACAGCCCCCTAGTGGCACACAGCAACATTAAATGAAATAACAACCAATACGTAATATAAATATATAATATAGTTTTGTTACTGAAGAGGTGATCCGGGCAGAACGACTACATTCTACGACACTGAGGCAGAAAAGCTGCGACGATTACAAGTACACATAAAAGTACCACAAAGAGGCTTAAAACTACTATTTAAACAATTCAATTCATTTTTTTTTGTAGCCCATAATCGCAATTTACAAATTAGCCTCAGAGGGCTTTACAGTCTGTACCCATACGACATCCTCTGTCCCGAAACCCTCCATCAGCACAGGAACAACTCCCCAAACAATGAAAAAACCTTCCAAGAGGGAAAAAAGGGAAGAAACCTCAGTGAGAACGTCAGAGGAGGATCCGTCTCCTGATGGACGACTACAATGATGTCATGAGGACAGAATGAACAACGTATAATACATGAGACTATATGACAGAATGATTCAAGTAACTGTGAGTAGTAAACCAGACGCACAGCAGGACCACTGCAGGGTGGAACTACAAAGAGACGTAGAATTACTTGAGGAGACACAAATCAAACACAATACAACTACAAAAAACCCAAGTGAGCAGATGTCTTGTGAGACGTTTGGGACGACCTTCAGTCTTCAAGCTGTTGAGAGATCCGTTAAATAATAAAAGTAAATAAATATCGCTGACTTTCACTTTATTCTTTCTAAAAGATTTCCTCGATAAAACTGTTTAAACTTTTTAAAATGTTAAATATTATATACTGTATGTGAACTTTTGGCTCTGTACGTTTTTATTAACGTATTAGTTTTTATTTGAGCTGTGAGTGAGGATGTGAGTTTAAATGCTTCATTAAACAACATTAATCCACCTTAGTGCTTGAATCTTTAGGAATGATTGATTGTTTATTGGTGAACAGCGATGATCTTGATTGATCCATTTGATGTGTGATCAATCTGATTAGAGACTCGTCGCGTTCTGAATCTGACACAAGCAGATTTTAAACTTCATCTCTGTAGTTTTTGGAGAAGTCATGTGATCAGAGGTCAAACTACATTTCTGGTTGTTTTATTCATATTTTATGGCTCAGAAAGTTTTACGTTTTTACTTTTTATGTGTTTTCAAACCGAAACATTTCAATAAAGAACAAAAAGCTACATTGAGTCATTTCATGGTTTTGTTTGTCATCTTTTTATTGAAGTAAGCGAGAACATTAACTCAATTATGAGGTACTACTATAAAGTTTTATACTATTCATACTTAATCTACATTTTACAGACTTTTGCCACAGTATTTTTTCCCCTTGTGGTATTAGTACATTTACTGCAGTACAAATCCAAATACTTCCGGAAGTACTGTCCCACGTCTGCAGTAAAAGTACATTACAAGATTCTTCTTGGTGGTCCTGTTGGGCTTCTGGTTTGCGCCTTGTTTTCTGAGGGACTTTTAGTCTTTTGGTGGTTTATTCTGGACCAGCAGGTCGGTACCAGTACAGAGACAAAGGGGAGATGAAGACGTCCTCCTCCTCGTTCTTCATCTCTGCTTTTTGACTAGAGTACATCAATGTATATACGTTGCCTTTACACTAATATCTGATACACACGTACAGACATGAGAGATTATTCCCCAAATCATGGGCAGAAAACCCTTCTGTACAGATACTGATGACGTAAAAAGACTGTGAGCAGCAGCACGGCGTTGAGGCGGCGAGTGTTCCGCGCTCGTGTTCTACTTCTCTCCTCGGGTCGGACGCTCCAACATCACTCATCAATCACTCTCATCAGTCATCAATCACTCATCAATCACTCTCATCAGTCATGCCACGACATTATTACATTACATTACATCACAGGTCATTTAGCTGACGCTTTTATCCAAAGCGACTTACATCACACTTTAAACCCATGGCGTTTACATTTTTGCCTGGGGAGCAATTAGGGGTTAGGTGTCTCGCTCAGGGACACTTCAACTTGAGACATGGGGCAGCCGGGACTTGAACCACCAACCTTGCGGTTCCCAGCACACCTGCTCTACCCACTGCGCCACAAACTCCATTATGTTCTTTACACGTGTTTGTAAACATGTTTGTAAACGTGTTTATGTATTTACGTGTAATCTTGTCTGATAGCGGCTCTCTGCTGTAAAACCAAAATGCATAATTACAGTTTGCACTCTTTGATTTGCGTCGGTTGATTCCCTGACAGCCAATGGGCTCGTCTCGCCGCGTGGCGTGTTTGATGGTCACTCTAAAGCCCCAGAATCCTCTCTGGGAGGTAGAAGACAAGCAGCTTGTCCCCCGTCTCCTCTGACGGCTCCGCTGTCCTTCCTGCTCTGCTTATCTGACGCTTTTCAACAGATGTTCCTAATTCCTCTACGACGTTACGATGTGTCACACGGGATTATTATAATCCCTCCATTCAGACTGCGCTGTGTGTGTGTGTGTGTGTGTGTGTGTGGTGATGTAAGTGTGTATGATGAGGATTACATGATGTTCCTCCCACACATTGAGGGAACGTGTGTTGGTTGAAAGAGGTTCTGGTTGATGTGATTAATGCAAAGACACATTTTAAATATAATCTCCTCCCAGGAATCACCTCAACGGTCCAGCTGGTCTCTGTTGTCAAGGGCAACCGCAGCCACGAGAAACGTTATTATTCAAAACCGAGACATTTTCAGGTCGAAATCCTGAAAAAAGACCTGCTGGCTATTAAGGTGATCTCCTCGGTCCACACGTACTGAACATCTGTCCGTCCCTCAAAACGCGTGACCTCCTGTCTCCGTCTCTCAGCTCGATGGTCCCCACTGACAACATCAAAACCAAAAGACAAAGACATGACGCCAGAAGTGAGCATCTACGCCTGTGGTGGGGAACAGATATCACATCTCACTCGCTGATGGTTCTCTGGTTGGGGAGCATGGTCCTCCTCCTCCTCCTCCTCCTCCTCCTCCTCGCGCTCTTCTTCGGGGGGTTCCGGGCGGAGAGGTAATGGGCCACACGCTCCTAATCGGGCCCTTCGTGGGGCTTATTGTCAGCTGGATTTCGTCCCCCAACGTTCTCCGTCCTCCCTCACAGCCGGGGGAGTAATGAGGTGTTACGTGAAATGACGTCCCCCCCTCGGGACCCTGAAGGGAGCTCAAGAAGAGAAATAGCAGAAGCTAATGGACAGAAACAAGGACGAAAAGATGATCGCCAGAGAAAAGGGTTACAGAAAGAAGTGGAAATGAAGACATTGAATCAAGAGATCAATTAAAAAAAGGAAAAAAAAGACCAGAGGAGATTTTATTGATCCTTCTAGTATAAAAGTGACTGAACGCGTTCTTCAGTTCATCAAGTCCTCTGAGAACAAACAACCTCAGTGGATTGTGATTTGGTTTAGTCATTAAAATCATACCATTTATTTCTAATGCGCATTTCTGTTTATGTGCTGATCAATCAAAAAAATATTATAAATAGAAACAGAATAATGCATTCTCAGTAAAATGGGCGGAGCGAGTCACATCTGGGCGAGTCACATCTGGACATTTGGAATGTTCTTGGCGAGTTGCAAACTTTTGAATTGGAACAGAACGTGGGCTTCAACGGATGATGTTTCCCAAGAACACACGTCCACGAGCACATGAGTCCATCAGGACACGAGAAAGAGTTCATTAAGAAACCGCCGTCGTAGAGACCTGTCAATCACACCAAGCCCCCCCATAAAGCCCCCCGCCTTATGGTCTGTTTGAGTCCAAATGGACCATAATTCACTAAAGGAACATCGTGCTGTATTAAAGAAGACTGAGCATAAACCTGCACTTCTTGTGGAAATCGCACAAACGTCGGAACCACAAACGCCGTCATGTTTGGGTTCATGACATCATCAGCTTGTGAGTTGTTGTGGCAGCCCTAGTTTTATATATATATATATATAAACTACTAAAGAAACGTTCGGTCCATTTTGCAATGAGAGTTTTTATTAAATAACAGAGTAATTAGTATGAGTGTAATCACCAACTGATGAATGGATTAAAAAGTAAAACCTTTACACGAAGGGAAGCTCTTCTTCATTAACATCACACAAAATGTGAACATATTATTGCTGATATTTGCTCACTTTCAGAGAATTAAAAGTAGAAGCGACTCATCTACAGCTTCAGTCCAGAAAAACGAGAAATCCAGGAGAAATCTTCAGGAACACGAGGCCGACGTCCGGTCGATGCTAACGTGCTAACGTGGTCTTATGAGAAGTTCAGGTCCACAGACTCAACGTAGAGGTGATGATGCAGGAGGAGCTTCTGAAGTCCTGAATCGATCACGTGATGGTTGACGTTTGTCAATTAAGGAAATATATTTGAAATCATCTTTTCAATATAGGAAGATGTTCTTCTGTCGTCTTTCTTGATTTATTGACTTGAATTTAATTTCTCAGCTTCACATCAACATCAATCAGTTTATGTTTGCTACAAAAACCTGACTAATAATTATTATTATTATTAATGTATTAACTGTGGAGGCTCCTTTAAATGATCCAATATAACACCGTGTTTAAAAAGGGTTTCATGCTCAAACTCTCCTCTGCTGCGTGAAAAGTGAAGGAGCTTCTAAACATGGAGGAGGAGGAGGAGGAGACAAAGGGGGGGAGGAGGAGGAGCAGACAAAGGGGGGGAGGAGGAGACAAAGGGGGAGGAGGAGCAGACAAAGGGGGGGAGGAGGAGGAGACAAAGGGGGGGAGGAGGAGGAGCAGACAAAGGGGGGGAGGAGGAGCAGGAGTAGGAAGTGCATTGACAAAGGAGGTTAGAAATCAAGTCTCTCCTTTGGTGTTATTGCAGGAGAAAAGGAGGCGTGAGTAGAAAAAGTTCATTTCTTTAAGCTCCTCTGGGAGCTTGTGTTGTGTTCAAGTGCACGCTGTTCATCAGATGTATTATTTTCTCCTCCTCCCCTCTTCCTTCCATCTTTTTCCTTCCTAATCTGCGGAACGGACAACCAGGTGAGCAGCACGGCGGACAGGAGCGTCCCGTCCAATCAGAAGACTCGGTTTTCATCACATGCCCGATGAGGAGACGCCCATTCCGGCTGCTTTGTTCATGCAGGTTAAACCTTGAGCTCCGGCTTTTGGGAAATCGTGCGTCACTACTCGTCCGTTCTCTCCTCCGAGGATGGACCCGCCCCCTGCTCCTCCTCCGTACCCCCCTCCCGCCACGCCTCCTCCTCCGTACCCCCCTCCCGCCACGCCTCCTCCTCCGCCCGCCATCCCGCCGTGGCCGGAGCTCATGGCGGCGTCGATGAGCTCCTGCAGGAGAAAGAGAGAAAAAACAAAAAGCAAAGACGCGTTGATCAAAAGTCAGTGGTCATGTGACGAGCAACGACCAATGACAGCGCAGCTCAGATGTAATAAAGTGAAGCGTGTTCGTGCTTCCTCGGTCAACACTTCACACTGTTTCTCCACCTCGCAGGTTTTTCATTTGAAGGCTGTTGAATAGAAAGGCGTGTTGTGTTTGGAGGGATCGGATGTATTTATGTGTCTTAGCGTCGAGGTAATAACAGTAAAGCTGTTTTCAGCCCCCCCCACTGCTAATAATGTGGGATCCACACTTAAATCTCCTGAATCGGGCCTCGTTTACTGCGTCGGCCTCCAGCGCTGCTTCCTGCTTCCTCACTTTGAGACGCTTCAGCTTCACACTCATCAGCAGAGCTTTGGTCTCTGCTGATGAAAAGCTGCTGCACGTGTTTCTTCTGGGAATGTCCTCGACTAGGGTTGAGTATCGTTTGGGTTTTTTCCGGTACCGGTGCTCCTATTAAAAAAGCCCATAACAACGATTGATTGAAAGGTTGTTTTTTATATTGCCAAAGCATTTTTTTTCTTCAAATTGAAAAATATATTAACAATTTAATTACAGTTGTAATTAAAGGCAAACGGGTGTACAGGTTCATTGCACTTTGGAGAATATTAAATTCTTAATTTTAGATGTATGCTCACTGTGTATTAAAAGCATTTATGTTGTATTGACGCTCCTTGTTTGTCTCCATGTATGACGTCATGATTGAGCTGCACGAGACACGAGAGCACTTCGTTGTTCCACCGCGTGACACAACTTATTTGTGTATTTAGTCAACGCTTTGCTGCGTACAATGAAGACGAAAGAATCAAACGACCTCCTGGCATTCGCGTGAGTCCCGTGTGTGCAGAACGCCGCCCTCTCGGGTCGCACCTTTAGGGGCCGGACGGTCCGACGGGACGGGAGCGTCGTTACGGACTCTGTGACCGCTGACTTACACTGACTTACGTAAATGTCAATAGAAGGCAGAAGGCGAGCTAGCTACTGTAGCTGCACAAGCGGTATGCTATCGTTAGCTGTTGTGGGTTCGGCGTCATCAAAGTAGTGTCAATAAAGTTTTTCGATTGGCTCAGGTAGGTACCGGCTGTATAGGAACCGGTACCAATACGGCACCAGCTCTCTGTACCCAACGATGTCCTCGAGGCGTCATGACGTCAGTCCACAACAAACGAGTGATAGCAGAGCCGTGCTAACGCTAGCTCATGGTCCCAGTGAGCATGAGACGGCATTTCACTGTTAAAATCTGGTTAAAATTTCAACGTCTTTTCAACCGGCTAAAAAGTGGATGAAACATCAACGTGTTAAAAAACGTGAATTTGTTGATAATGTGTCATGTTGTAACGCGACGTTGAAAGAGAGACGATATTATTATTAAAATTGTCAAATAATTAATGAACTGGTCGGCAAAATTCAACGTCTATTCGTAGATGTCGCAAAGAGGTCTCTGTGGAGACCAGTTTTCAACGTGATTTTTAATATCAAATGTGGACGTTGTTTCTTTGTAAACCTCTAAAATGATGATTTAGGACAAAGTAGAGGACGAAACAAAACCGTATTAAAAATCACGTTGAAATGTGGTATGAACGTAGACGTCTACGGGTAGACGTTGAAAAAACGTTCACTTTTTAACCAATTTGCCAGACAAGGTCCGAGCCACTGAACCGGAACCGGTGGAGGAAAATTTGCTACGCTGGATTGGACAGTCTGCGTCAAAGGGGCGGGGCTTACCAAATGGTCCACCGACTTGCAAATGAAATTGTTTTGTGGAACTTTGCTACGAAACCACACCCACCTTCATTCTCCGGGACTCGATCCGGGACTTGTAGCAGAACTCGACCAGAGCCACCAGCATGGCGAGGCCAAGCCCGCCAATCAGGATGTAGAAGACCCCCGCCACGTTGCTCAGACTGAGCGCGCTCGTCTTGTCCTGTTGGTGCAGAAGGGCGGGGGTCGGGGGTCAGGGACCACCAACCACGGCGCAGATGGAAATGACATCACTACTGTTGAGAATTATTATCTTTTCTAACTAATGCTTTTTGGAATATTTTTAAAAGGCTGTGATCAAGGCTGTGAAATTAATCATTGTTATCAGGTCTGTTTCTACCACTAATTTAGAATTTACTATCTCATTTCAGTAGTAATTTTTGCATTACTTGCTGCTATATCTATTCACGTCATGCCATTACTACAGTCTCTCTCTCTACACAGCCGAGGATCATGGGTATTGTAGTATTTAGAGCTGTTGGCCAACATGATGACCACTCCTGAGATTCTGCATCAACTAGTAAATACATTATACCCAAGGCTACAAAAGATACCGTCCAGGTGCATTTTGGGAAATGTAGTATCCATCTGCAGCTTGACTCGAACTAGCGGGTAAACGCCACAATCTGTCTGACAGACCTTTAGTTTTTATAGAAAACTGGTGGTGAAATATATATTTTGGAGAATGAATTTCTGTATTGCCACAAACCACAGCCTTTGATAATGATCCATATTTATAGTCCATCACATGCAGCTTCATGCACATAAACACAAACAGAGGGAAGGAAAAACACATCTCTAAAGACTACTGGTTTAGGAAAGAGATTTATCTTGAAGTGAGTTTGATCTTCTAGTTCTATTCGCTTTAGCTAAAGAGTTATCTCTGTAAATCCTGACTCAACTTGAACGAATCCTTACTAAAAAAGGGGGCATTTGATTGATCTGATTTTCTGTCACATGCGTCGCGTGTTTCTGTGGGCGTGGCTTAAATCTGACATCCAGTAGCATGCAGCCTGTTCAGAACACTACCAGGAAGAAAGAGCCCTTAAAGTGGGAGGGCCTTCGCTTCAACTTCGCTGTGTGTGTGTGTGTGTGTGTGTGTGTGGGGGGGGGGGGGGGGGGGGGGTGTTTCTGTATGTGTGTGTGTGTGTGTGTGTGGGGGGGTGTGTGTTTCTGTGTGTGTGTGTGTGTGTGGGGGGGGGGGGGGGGGGGGGGGGGGGGGGGGTTCTGTGTGTGTGTGTGTGTGTGTGTGTGTGGGGGGGTGTGTGTTTCTGTGTGTGTGTGTGTGTGTGGGGGGGGGGGGGGTGTGTTTCTGTGTGTGTGTGTGTGTGGGGGGGGGGGGGTGTGTGTTTCTGTGTGTGTGTGTGTGTGTGTGTGTGTGTTTCTGTGTGTGTGTGTGTGTGTGTGTGTGAGAGAGAGACGAGGGAGGGGGGGAGTGAGGCTGTCGTCAGTAGCTTAAACTTCATTAATTGTTGGTCGGCAGCCACAAACAGAAAAAAGGAGATGGAAAATGTCATTTTTTCTTTTACAGAAAAGACATAAATTCTTGCCAGATAAAGAAACGATAAATGATTTAAGTTGTTTCAGAACTGAAGGACGCTGCAGGGTAAAAAACATAAAAGTGATGCAGAGTCTGTGTGTGGCTGCCTCTCAGCGAGCGGCGCCGACCGCGAGTCTTCTGGAGAGCAGAAAGACGGCTGAGCGCAGAAAAGCCTCCCAAAGGAAATCTGATCCGGAGACGTGAAAACCTCTCGTCTCAGAGAACGTCCGCTTCGTCACAACGGGCTGAAGCTCCTTCTCGCCTCAGTTTGCATTAATGTGACTGGACGCTACATTTGGAGTCTGTGTTTGGGTGCAGAAGTACTCGGTGCCTTAGGGAGCATCAGGCGAGTTGAGGTGCAAATCCGAGTCGTGAGGTTTTCACGCGACATCAGAATATCTATCGGGCCGCTCGTTGATTGATTTGTGCTCCGGCGCTTCAGAATGGTCAGCTGACCAGCAGTGTTACACTCTAAAAGGGAAAAGTTCTTCAGCAAACCAAAGCTAACGTCACCAACATCGGTCACAATGACAGACTTTAGTGCCAGCAGGTACTGAGTTTGAATTCATTAGATCAAAGTATAACGTTCAATGATTTCTTTGTTTGATAAAAAGATCGATACTGGATGTATCAGTAATCAGCTGATGAGCTCAGCTTACAGGTCTTTTCAAAGAAACTAAAGTTAAACTTTGCCAAAATGAGTTAACGTCAGGCTCGACGTCTGTCTCGTTCTGCACTATTTAAAGTACACGTACCTTCTCATTAGGTATCATATTCAAATTCAACACCTGGAGGCAAAAATAACTGTCTGGAAAGATGAATCATGACGATATGTTTTGATTGCTATTCCTTTTTTTTTCTTTTAGCTGCCCATCTCTTTTGATTGGCGTCTGAGATGACCGAACTAAACTCCCGATCATTACACAAATTAACAAACAAATGAAGTCTGCAAAAACGTTTCTTTTCAGAGTGTACCTGCTGAAGTTTGGGGGTTTGGGACTGATGGGGTAAAGTGTGGGGGGGGGGGGGCACCAACACATGACCTCGGGACCGAGCAACCTCAAGAACTGACCTTTCTGCCGGAGTCCTTGTGTCCACACTCCCCTTTGTCATACCACCACTTGTTTTCAACTTGTCTAAGATGGCTTGTTCATTGAGCTTCAGTACCGCTAGGTTTACTGGGATTCTTCAAAAGAACCATGAGAGGAAGGGGGGGGGGGGGGGAATAACATAAATAACATTATGCACCTCCATGTTATCTTATGTTATTGTTCAGCTGCACAGCAACGGGGCTGCGGCACCAACAGCGGCGCTACTTTGGCAAAAACTGGCAGTTGCAGTACAGATGCTTTGGCAAACTACAGAGAACACGTCAACATTGAGAGTAAAAGAAACAAAAGACACACAATCACACATATAAACGGTTCTGGTAAATGTCAAAGTGATATGCTTTAATACTCCATCTAGCTTTGGCTTGGCCTGACTCCCTACGCGCGAGATGTGTATTACTATATCACTTTGGGTAACCGGCAAGAGCTGAACACAGTCGACTCTGTCTGTGGTGGGGCCGACGTTCCAGGAGGAGACGAGATGAACGTGAGGGTATTTTACAAGAGGAGCTAACCGGATAATCTGGGTTGATTTCCGACAGCTTAGCTTGTTAGCTTGTCTCACTTTTTGGTTTCCAGTTATTGGAAATGTCTCCATGAATGGACGGTGTAGATTTGGCTTCTTTACAAAGGACCAATGACACGATGCTGTATAGATACAATATAAATGCAGTGGCCCGGTTTCCTACCTGAAACCAACGAAACGATTTAACGAATGTAAGCAGAGTCGTATTTCACAACGTTTGTCCGTTGTCTTCGGGCTCTGGCATTATGTTCATGGAGTCAAAGCTGTGGGGAAACTTCCTCCGGTTTAAGCCCAAATCCCGTTTGGAGAGGGTCTTGGTCTTGTGTCCATTGAGGACTCAAACAGGGGATCAATCACAGCTATAAACATGAAAGTAAGCGTCAAGGATTCGATCTACGCCTTCGTATCGACTAATAGACGTCTAGATGTCCCAGAACTACTCTTCCCAAACTGCCGATGAGGTAAAGCTTAATTCCTGTTTTCGGTCAGGATGGTTTTCTAAGTGTGTTTTTTGTAAAATACCCCCCGGATCAGTAGGTTGGTGGATCAAATCACCTCCTGTTCCAGAGGTGGAACCAAAGGTTTCGGGTAGAGTTTTCGTGGGGCCTCCCGAATGTTTTTGGCTTGATATTTAAGCTGTGGGTTGTTGCCGGTTACCCCGGCGGCCATTGCCTTTGGTTACCAGTTGGGGGTTACGGTGATCTGACCTTGGAGTCCCCTCCCCCGGTGCCGCACTCTCCCTTGTCATACCACCATCTGTTTTTCAATTTGTCCAACAGGCCCTGCTCGTTCAGTTTTAATACCGCCAAGTTTACAGGGTTTCTTCGGGGTGATAGTAATGAGGGATAGAAGGGAACTGGGTGTTAATGAGCAGCAGACTGCCATAGTCAACACAGCAACATCATTACATTCATCTACTCATCACAGGCATGTTATCATCCTTCAATGGATGGTTCTTCATTTAATCTCCCCGCTCTTCAAACCAGACCTTGTTAAAATGTTGTTTCCTCAGTGAAAGTTGTGTCCAACAGATCCACATAGTTTGGGTGTAAAAGACTCTGCTGCATCTGCTCACTGGGCTTAAACACCTCATCATGTCTGAAGGTCGGTTGTGAGCTTCCAGATTTCTAAAAAGACCAATCTAAAGTATTCATCATTGTATGGAACAACTGCTCTATGCTAACGTCAATGTGTTGTGCGTAATGTGGCATCATTTCAGCATTTGCTGCTAAATGTAATTACACAATACATTTTTTATAGGTCAGTTCCTTGCTTATGAAGAAACATCAGAAAACCTTAGTCTATGAAAACACATTTAAAAACATTGTTTTGTTTTATGGTCTCGCCAACAAAGAGTAAGTTAATGGTTGAGGGCAGCTGGTTAGAGATGGATTCTGCCATGATGGGCCTAGAGAGAACTCTCTGGATTGTCCCCACCAGAAGAGACTTGATGGTCTTGATAGTTGGACTCACTCTCCGTGACTTCGTTAATCGTGGTGGTTGTCTAATACGTCTAAAGTTCTGTGGCCCTACGGCGACTCGAGTAGTTCAGTAAGGGCTGAGCTCAGCTGAATATTACTCATTATTCCCTGTACATGTGGATTAAGAGCCATGGTCTTGATTCGAATGAATCACGAGTGATGCCCCCGGCTGCAGTAACGCAGGCGTTGGACCCTGAGTTATAATATAAAGCTTTCTATCTACTATGTGATCCTGGTGGAGAGATGAGATGGTTGATATGAGCGGCCAAAGAAGACGCCACGCGCATGAGAAATGAAGGGAAGCGATGGATTTGGGAGGGCGTCCAAATCGAGGAATCCCAGAGGGAATGTTTTTGGACAGACTGGAAGGACATCCAAGGCAAAGACGTGGTCCCGCTGTGGAGACAACTGGCCAGCGAGGCTCATGATGGAAAGAGACGTCAATCATGAGCCAACCAGTGTTCCTTTAGTTCAAGTGTTGCTCAAGCTGTGGGGCGCGGCCCTCATCTACAATTTTGTTTTTTCTTACTCCAAAGTCGGTCGTGACAGAAAGAGTTTGAGAACCACTGCTTTATTCAGACGGGACAACAATGACTAATGGATGATCAATGTGATGAAGGCGAGAGCAAAGGAAGACCTTTGTTCCAAATTGCATTATGTTTACTAAAATAAAGAATTTGAACATAAAGTGGTCCAGCTGATGGACATACATTAAACGGTCATGTGTGTCCAAATACACTGTCAATTGGAATTTGTAAATTCAAGAAAGTCCCAAAAAACTGTAGCAATGTCACTTTGGAACAACTCCAAATAATCCGATGACAACAGTCACACAGACAGAAGCCGGTGGAACCGTGGAACCAAGCGGCTGTGTCGGCTGAACTACCGGTCGACCCAGAGGCAGAGAACCGGGACGGAACCTGTGATCATCCAACACGCTCAGCATTTAGGGGCTTTAACGCAACTCTGTTGTTAGGAGAACGTCTTCCTCTCGTTCCTTCCATGGCTCGGTTCTTTTTTTCCCATTCTGAATGTTATTATCTGTTCATGGAAGCTGCTACTTTTTAATTAGCTTTTAAGAAACCTGAAATGATTTCCCCACCCAGGCAGAATTTGGTGGGTGTTGTTTTTCAGGGATTGACGCTGTTGGTTTACATATTTAACCTCTTAACATACTGTGAGCTTATCGGATCTTTGGAGACAGTTTCCTCTCTGACTCTGGGCTGTGTGTAAAATGCTGATGTGAACAAAGAAAGAATGGTTTGATAAAAGCACAAAAGCCTTTTTGACGGAAACAAAGGAAGAGAAGAAATAGAGATTTCAAAAGCTGCTGTCAGGTAAAATAAATAATTTCATTTCAGAGAGGTTTTGGTAAGTACAGTGTAGCTTACAGAGCGTACGGTGCTGTGTGGTCCAGCTTGGTGTACAGAGTGTACAGTGTAGCCTTGTACGCTGTAGTCTAGAGAGCGTATGGTGTGTTTCTGCGCGGTGTAACACAGATGGTGTAACGCAGACGGTGTAACGCAGAAGTGTGTTTTTGACGGCCTACAGAGCGTTTATGTCAAGACGGAGAATTACTTTCTTTATCAATCGAACAACACAGAGCTGGATGGACGGATGGATGGATGGACGGATGGATGGATGGATGGATGGATGGACGGACGAATGGATGAATGGACGGATGGATGAATGGATGGATGGACGGATGGATGGATGGATGAATGGATGGACGGACGGATGGATGAATGGACGGACGGATGGATGAATGGACGAATGGATGGATGGATGGACGGATGAATGGATGGATGAATGGATGGATGGATGGATGGATGAATGGATGGATGGATGGATGGACAGATGGATGAATGGATGGATGGATGGACGGATGAATGGATGGATGGATGGTTCAGTTGTCGTGAGACAGGCATCAGAGAAGACATGACACCAGACAGGTAAACGGGCCGACTGACTGAAACAAGGACAAAGACGGACAAGAACACCAACAAGGACAAAGACGAACAAAAACAGAGAGAGAGAGAGACAAGACAGACAGAGAGACATATTAAGAGACTGACAGACAGACAGGCAGACAGACAACAGTCAACAAGTTCTAAACCTGAGTGCGTAGTCAACGAAAGACCCTGATGCTCTGCAGAGGACGGACTGGGTCACTTCACTTCAAGTCTTCTATAAAGTTTCGTTCTAAGCGCCAAACATCCCAATTCATTATCATTACGATCAAATCAAAGTATTTTCTACCATTAATCATCTCAGGACCCCTCAGGTGTATCTGGTGACCCTGTTCAGGGACTCGAGCTCTTGGTTGGGACCCACTACCTGACTCTATAGAACTTAGTTAAATCCACTATCTAATAATATCATATATAGATATACATTTAGGGTGTTCTACTAAACAATGAGTCCTTCTACTTTAATACTTGTGGTTTGCTTATACTGGAGTATTTTCACAGTTGTAGTAGTACTTTACCTTAGCGTACTTCTTTTCAAACTAGGAGTTCATAGTTCTTTTTAAAACTAAACCCATGAACTCCTCACAGACCTTTGCTCTGTCTCATCCTCAATAAGTAGTGGTATAGAAAATGCCGTTGTAGTATCTGAAGGTCAAAGTTCAACCTCTGCAGAGTCTCTCAGTTCGGATCCCAGAACTTATTCACAATATCAAACAAAGCATATTCAATTCAACGAGGTCTAATTGATCATTACCCTTGAAATCTAACATACAAGCAGACAAAGGTCTTGACAGAACAACAAGAACACAACATGGGACACCACGTGGGCGGGGCTCCGAGCGTACCTGAGGGCCGAACCTTTGGGCGTGGCCACTCCGTAACCTTTGGAGTCCAGGTTGCCTCCTACTTTCATGGTGTCGCAGGGCTTCCTCTGCTCGATGTACTCATTCATGGAGGACTCCAGCAGGTAGGCGTACTTCCCCTTGGACTTCCTGACCCTGATCACACCATCGTTGGTGCTCTTGACAAACACAGAGGGGTCTGCGCTCCGCATGTAGGACCACATCTTCTCAAAGACCGCGATCTTTGACCGCTGAAGAACCAAATGAAAGACGATCATCGGGGTGTCGGGGTGATATGATCGTGGGCGGAGCATCGGTGGAGGAAGAACAAACGTCTCAACACGCTGGTCAGCTAGTTACGTTGCCTCTTCTCTTTGATAGTATCAGCTGAGGGAAACAACATTTTAAGTGCTACCACAGAAAAGCAACATTAACCACGAGGCCATGTTGGAAGACTCCTTCCCGGTGCGGACGGCTGGCTAGTTAGCTTATTAGCTAGCTAGCTTGTCACCGTCCTAAACCTTTTGTTCTACGTTTAACTACAAATAAAGCGTTTCCTTCAACCAGAACCCAAAGATTACATCCTGAGCTCCTCATTGAAACTATGACGTCATGTTTGATCTGAGACCGTCATGTGACCATAGATCAAAGAAACAGGACTGAACTTCAGGAAGTGAGCACGGAGCAGTAGAGGATGTTCAAATGTGAGTTGACCGATATGAAGCATCGCATACATGTTATGTTTAACATATTATACATATAAATTTCATCATTTGCCGATTTTTAAAATCATAAAAATTCTACCTTTCTTTTCTTTTGAATGACTGTTAACTGTTATTCTGCACTAAAGACACACGCCAGATGCCGATCAGAGGCCTGTTGGTTATTCTTCAGACAAACAGAACAGCAGGAAGTGGAGAGATGATCAGCCTGTGAGATGGCCTCCTCACCTTGAAGAACTCCTTGGTGGAGCCTCCCTCCAGAGTACCGTAGGCTATCTCGGTCTGCTTGGCCAGGTCCTCCGCGCCCTCGATGGGGGACACCATCCTCTCCACGGTGAGGAAGGCCGCCAGGTTGGCCGTGTAGGAGGAGATGATGATGAGGGTGAAGAACCACCAGACCCCTCCCACGATTCGACCAGAGAGAGACCTGATGAGGAGCGTCAGAGTCTCAGAAACACAGCGTCACAGCTCCAGTCTGATCTCAGATCTGATCTCAGATCTGATCTCAGAGAGAATGTGCAGAGATGACCAAATAAATGCTGGAAAGATCAGTGTCTTAGTTGACCAGGTCCAGGTGTCCTACCTGGGCGAGATGTCACAGCCCTGCTGCATGAAGGCCCCCAGCGAGAACCACAGAGAGTTAAAGATCCCAAAGTCGTTGGTGTGTTCTGGAGCCTCCTTCTCTTTCTGCGGGTTCTGGTTCTGGTTCTGCGGGAACCCTGAAGGACGCCATCATGTTACGGAGGGTCCACATTCAGAGGGGGACATGAGGAAGGTGCTGATGATGATGATGATGGAGATACCTGGAGAGCGAGCCAGCTCAGAGGAGGAGGTGGGCAGAGCTCGACGAGAGGAAGAGGAGGGCAAAGTTTCATCTTCGTCATCAGAGTCGTCTGCTTTCCATTCATACGGACTGAAGCGACTCACCTAAGTAGAAGTACACAAGTACTGTCAGCCCCAAGGAGTAGAAGTACACAAGTACTGTCAGCCTCAAGGAGTAGAAGTACACAAGTAGTGTCAGCCTCAAGGAGTAGAAGTACACAAGTAGTGTCAGCCTCAAGGAGTAGAAGTACACAAGTACTGTCAGGCTCAAGGAGTAGAAGTACACAAGTACTGTCAGCCCCAAGGAGGACGCATGGCAGTCCGCCCAAAACGTGAGTGAATATCTGTGCGTGTGAACATACTCTATGCAGCCCAATGGAAACACATGGAAATACCAGTTAATGTACTCATATCACAGTAGAAGTACATCGGTCGGTGTAAGGCAGTGAGTCCTCTCACCAGGAACAGCACCACGCTGACTCCTATGTAGGCGAACACGATGCACATCCAGATCTCGTAGGCCAGCGGGTCGAGGAAGGAGAACACGCCCGGCTTGGACTTGGTGGGCTTCTTGATCATGATGGAGATCCCCAGAGACATGAACGGTTTGGTGAAGTCGATCACCTGCTCTCTGACCAGGGTGATGGTGAGGGGGGCCACGGCCACGTCGGCCTTCTGCACACACACACACACACACACACACACACACACACACACACACACACACACACACACACATACACACACACACACACACACACACGAGACAATTAGAAATAAACAACGTATTTATCCTTTACTACTGAGGCACACCAACCTAATTGAACATGTGACTTTTTAAACAGTTGGCAAGTTTACACCGACGGTCCCTGAACGCATCACGAAGGCCGAAGATTTCATTCTGCATGTCTCCTTTAAAACCATCTTGGGCTTTTACCAGATTCTGTATAGAACATTCAAGTTCCTCAAGTTCCCTCAGTGGAACTATAAAGAAATGACCAGAAATCAGAGAACGTGTGACTGAAGAGCAGGAAGTGAACACAGACGGAGGACGGACGTGCAGCCTCCATTCTATCTACATACTTGAAACACGATGAATTACTTCAACCTCCTCCTGGGCGTTTACGTCGCTCTCATCCCATCCCTGTGGGCCTCGCCGGTTCCCACTCACCCCGTACACCAGTTCTCCCACCATGCCGTTCCACAGCTTGGTGTCGGGGTCCCGGGCGCCGTACTTGCCGTCGCCCACCAGCTCCAGCCGGTACACGAAGCCCACGTGTTTGGCGATCTCGGCCGCCAGCTCGGCGCAGTATCCCTCGTACCGCTCGTTGCCTTCGTACTGCTCGTGGTTCTTCTTCAGCATCATGTAGGGGGCTTCCTGTCACGAGGAGACGCAGGGCGTCAGCGCCTGCGTCGGGGGGGCGTCGGGGTGGGTCAGGGGGGCGTCGGGGTGGGTCAGGGGGGCGCTCTTACCAGTATGGTGGTGACCACATAGGTTCGATTCTGCAGCCCGTAGAACTCCTCCTGCACGGGCTTGTAGACGTCTGTGTTCACGTAGCCGCGCCTCTCGGTCCAGTAGCCGATCTGAGGGCGGAGCAACAGCGTTACGACGTCTCCATGGCAACCTGACAGGCCTCCATCTTTCTCCCTTTAGTTCCTTAGTTAGTTAGTTGGTGGATGGTTATTATTTTGGCATAAGCTGCCAGATGGACTGAGGTCAGCACTGCCGGTCTGAGGTACTCGTGTCCTTTTATTCAATAACTGTTCTAATCTTCTTGTATTCACTTAAGCACAAAGCTGAGACTGCAGCTCCTCCGCGCTGCAGCAGCTGATTCCTCAGATTATCACTTCTAATCAGAGGACGGGGAGCTCATTGTTCACATGCGCTGATGTTGGTGAAAACCTGCAGCCCCCCCTCCCCCCCCCCCGAAGCTGTTTAAGAGAAGCACCTTCCTGGCCCCCGTGTGGCTGAGCTCCATCACACT